GCCCGAGCCCCCCCCCCTGCCCCCCGGGGGGGCCTCCCCCTGCCGTCAGCAGGCCTGAGCTGCCCCTGTACAGCAGCTCCTGAGCCCTGTTCCAGGTCTGAGTGGCACAGACTCCTCCGCTGTCCACACCCGCCCTCTCCGGCTCGCAGGCAGACCCCAGGTCAGACGCTGCAGAGCCCCTGGTGCCAGGCGTCCGCATCTAAGGTCATGTGCCGGCGGCGCCAGGCAGGCCGTGGTACCCATGTCCCTTGCTCAGGCCCGCGCTGACCGGACTCGCAGCTCCAACACGTCCAAGCTGGCCGTATCGCCGGACACCCTGGGCCCCCCTTTGCTCATCTGTGAGATGGGAAGGCGCAGCTTCCGATCAGAGGGGAAGCGAGATCTACGGGAGCCTGGCCACACACCTGCAGCAGGGCCTTCTCACTCTCGGGGTCAGGGCATCGCTGCTCCGGCCTCCCGCTGCTGCCCTCCCGCTGCTGCCCCACCCACGATGGCACCCACCCAGGCCCCACGTGAGTTTCAGGATGACAGCATCGAAGAGCACACGGAAGGACCCCCCCTGCGTCCAGAAGCAGAGATTTCGGGCCAGGCAGGATTCACCCCCCTGGCCCTGGGGGGTCTTCGCCCAGGCAGGGGCTGCCCTTCCCACTGCTACTCATCTCAAGCCTGACACTCCCTCCTCCGCTTTCCGAGGCTCCCTGTGCAAACAGAAAATGGGTCACCTGACCAATAAGCATGCACCAGGGCCACCCCTGGCAGGTGGAGTGGGGTGTCAATTACAAACACCTGTACCTTGGCGGCCTGTTCCTGTACTTGAGGTTCGCGCTCAGAACGGGCCTGCAGTCTCCGAGGCCAAGGGGACCTGGGGGGATGGGCTGTAGGAATACTGCCACCACAGTCCTGGCCACAGCCCTGGGGTCCGGAGGCAGGGGTCTGGGGATTTCGCCAGGAGCAGCAGGGCCATACGTCTCCCTGGGGGAGAGGGCCCTGGAGAGGGGATTCCCAGCTCCGGATCTGCTGCTGGGGGAAGTGGCAGGAGGGGGCCTCAGCTGGAGGCTGCTCATTTGCAGGGGTCAAGGCCCCGGGAATCATGTCCCATGAAAAGCGCCCAGTGGGCACAGGAAGCCCAAGTGCAGACTCCCCACGAGGCTCCACCACTTCTTAGTTCCCAGGGAGCTGGCCTCCGGTGTCCCTGTCAACCTGGGTCCAGGCCACTGCAGCCCACCCCTCCCCTGCACACTTCTGACAGGACTCCAGGGTGGCGTGGGAGCCTCAGCACAAGTGACAGGCCCTCCTGGACAGAGGGAACCAGGCTCCAACTCCCGGCCGCGTGCACGTGCCCCAGCAAAGCAATTCAGGACAGGGCCTGGGGCAGCCTCTTCTGCAGAGTCTGAAAAGCCTCAACTGGAGGGCAGAAGCTTTCCCTCTCCTCCCTGCAGCACCCCCACGGCCCGCACCCCAGAGGACACCCCAACTTCAACAGGAACTGCATGTCAAAGCCCAGGAAAGGCAAACTCTCAGAGGAAGGGAGGGAAAATAAACACACGGTCCGTTCCTAGAGCCTGCGGTCACAGGCAAACGGCCTCCTGACCGGGTCACGTGGCGCCACCTGGGGCGGTCCTACTGAGTTGCCCCCAGGGGTCCGTGGAGGGGCAGTGACCGTGCGGGGGCGGGGGAGGGAGCCCTGCCTCTCTAGCCTCCCTTTAATTGTTCTCAAGGCTTCCAAGTACAAATAAGGGGCTCCCCAAGCTTCCTGCTGTCACCTTCCTCCCCTTTCCTCCAGCCGAAAGCGCGACTTGCCCCGAAACAGAAAGTTACAGGGTAGGCTGCAGTCGGCGCGCAGGGAGGTTACGGAACAGGAAGCCACGCCAAATGCCCTCCCGAGCTTCCCCGGCCCCCTCCTCTGGCCGCGGCAGAACAAAACCTTCCAGGGAATCCCAGGCAGGAAGGGGGGCGGGGGCAGGCGGCCGCTCGAGCAGAGACCGCGCCAGGGGGTTGGCTGCAGGGAGCGCGAAATAAGCCCCAGGACTTGAGGG